TTCTCATTGTATTAATACCAAGTTTGTAAATATAATAGACCTTAGTATTATATAGATTTTCACTGGTGATAAATAAATTCTAATTTTAGTTAGAATAAGTACTGTTTATGTTTTTATCTGAATTAAAGCCGGTCGTTAGAACGTTAACAATTTTCATGGAAAAATCCATACACATAACATATTTAGAGTGAAAAAATTGTGTTTACTTCTGTCCTTTTTTGTAAAATATAGCCAGCTTTTAATACCGTAGAATAAATACAAAAACATTTCAATTTCTACAACATTTAAAATGTTACATAAAATTAACTACAAAACATAAATAGAAATTTTTTCACCAAATTATACCTTAAAATTTATTCTAAAAAATGGCTATTTTGATTTTTTTTAAACATTTCTCGTAAATTTTTGAAATTATAATTTTTTATTTAAAAATTATATTTATTACATTATTATTCTAGCCCTTAAGTATATTAGATATTAAAAAAAAAAAAATGAGCAAAATATAATAACTGGATCAAAAGTTATTTAAGTTGTCAATGAGTCCTGTGTATGAGCAAAAGTCAGCGACTAACATTTCTTTGTTGCAAGAAAGATTTTACATATATGTTATGGATCCGGCAAATAGTATGACTGGTCACATATCAAACTGGAAAATTTGAGCAAACAATTAAAACAGTCAAGTGAACCAATATTCGAGTGAATGCTGATGACGAAGATGATGATGATATTAGCAGACACGTATATTCATTTTTACAGCGTGTGAGATCAATGCTAGATGCAAACAAAACATTTGAGAATTTGAAATCATGACTCATGATTGAAGAAGCTAGATTAACTCAAGGGACTAGTTTTCAGAATGAATCAACTGAATATTGTGTGCTTTCAGAAGAATGAGTACAGAAAAAACAATTTTGAAACATTAATAAGTGTGAGAATTTCAACAAAAATTAAAATCCTATAAAGTGTAATTTCTGTTAACGTGAAGGTCATTGGAAACGTGACTGTTTTGTTTATAAGAAGGCACAAAAATATAAAAATAGTGAATCACAACATCTAATGAGTAACGCGTTCAACAGTTATTTAACAAAAAGCTGAAATCAATAAATGGTATGTGGATTCGGGTTCCAGTGACTATATGTATAGACACATTGAATGGTTTGTAGATTACAAACAGTTTAAAACTAACGTGGAAGTGCGTATTGGAGACGGAAATACAATTAAAGCTCACGGCAAAGGTAATATAAATGTACTATTTTTTTGCAAATGGAAAATGGACTAGAAAATGTTTGTCAGATGTTCTATACGTTCCTGGGTTTTAAAAGTTACTTTATTCTCGTCTGATGCATATTTGGACAAAGAAATAAAAATGATATCTTAAAGTAAAATGTGTAAATATATTAAAAATGGTAAAATTGTTGCAGAAGGCGTACGTGATAATAAATTGTTTGTAATGAAATGCTACTGGAACAGAACATCATACAGGCCAATATAGTAAAAAGGGTTGAAACATTGCAACAATGGAATCAGCGAATGGGTCATCAAAATTTTCAAAATTTTATGTACAAAATTATTTCACTCATATGCAAATACCATTTGAAGACACGGGCAAGGACGATTTTGCAAAGCGTACATTAATGGGAAACAACATATAAAATCGTTTCCATTGAGTAAAACAAAAACAACAGCACCAGGCGAAATTATACATAGCGATGTATTTGGGAGCCAATGGAGCAAAATCCACTAGGTTGTAAGCGTCATTTTGTATTATTCAAAAAGACGACTATACAAATTATCGTTACATATATTTTTTGTCAAATAAATCAGAGGTAAAAGAGAAATTACGAATTTATCTTAATTTGATTAAAAATCAAATAGATGTATCAGTAAAAAGCCGATTCATGTATATTTGTAAGTAGTAAAAACAACGATTTAGTAATTGTAGCTATTTTTGTAGACGATAGACTAGTGGAGGCAATAAGTAACGACTCATTGAACAAATTGATGACGTACTTGAAGGATAATTTCAAGACTAAAGAAACTATGTTAGACCAATTTTTTGGTATTGAGATCGATCATAGACCATACTGGTCGATTTTTATACACCAAAAATCTTACTGTAAGCGAGTATTATAGAAATTCAACATAGAATTGTCAAATTCAACATCAGTTCTTGCAGACCCTCGACATTTGCTAAATCATAGTTTGTCAGATTCACGACAAGCAGAGAGAGTACCATATCGTGAAGCTGTTGGCAGTTTGTTATATTTGAGTCAGGTAACAAGACCTGATATTACATATGCGGTTTATGTTGTCAGTCGATATCTCGAGAAGCCACAGAATATACATTGGAATACAGTTAAACGTATATTTAAAAATTTAAGAGGTACACTTAACTATTGTCTATTTTATAATTCTAGTGCTAAACTTGAACTCGTAGGATACAGTGATGCTGATTACACTGGGGATACAGTCACGTGAAAATAAATATCAGGTGCTATATTTATGATGGACTATGAAATAATTGCTTTGGGTTCGTAAAGGCAAAAATCAGTAGCACTATCAACGGCTGAGTCAAAATATATAGCTCTTAGTCAGGCAGTACAAAAACTATCACGGTTGTCATTACTAATAAGTAATCTCCTGGAAATTCGGCGAAATACACCTATTATGCATGCGGATAACCAAAGCGCAATAAGATTAGTAAAGAACCCAGAGTTCCATAAGAGGACTAAACACATAGATGGGCACACAAAAATACACTGAAGGTTTGTTTGTGTTAGAGTATGTGTGCAGTAAAGAGCAGCTGGCAGATATCATGACAAAGTCGTTGTCAAGGATTCATTTCCAATACCTCAGGTCACAAGCGGGAATAATTAAATTGAATTAATATTGTAAATATAAAATAAATCTTATTAATTGTAATTTTAGAGGATGTTGAAAGTGAAATAAAATTTAGTGTAACATTTATTTTATTTGTTAAGTAGAACATTTATCAGTTATTCTGATGTAGATTACAATATAGCAGGCTGTTATATGATACGGCTGCTTCAACGAATACCTCCACGGTATTCGGAGGGCAGTCGCGCCTACGTGCGACCACTGCCGGGATCGCCCGGGAGAGGCAGATAACGCTCTGCACAACCTCCGGTGCGAGGCGTGGGCCCAGGAACGGGACTCTCTGGAGTCTCGTCTAGGGTCCACGCTCCGAGTCGGGCCCTTGGTGGACCTGATGTTGGGAAGCCGGGAGGAGTGGAGGCTCGTCCAGGCGTTCGTCGAATCCATCTTGGAAAAGAAGGAGGAAGCAGAATGCCTGAAACAGAGGCAGCCGCGCCGCCCGGTACAGGAGGACCTAAGGCACTGGTTTAGCCCGGCGCCTTAGGTATTCGTGTTTATATGTTTTATGTGTTGTGAGTTTTTGAGACGGCGTGGGCCGCCCTGAAGTAATACCTAATGGCAGTTCCAGGGCGGCCTACAATTAAGCCGGTCGTGGAATAAAAAAAAAAGGCTGCTATATGATTTGTTTTTTTTTTTTTTTTGGGACTATCAGGCGACGGTCAGTGGTATTGTCATTGTCGTTACATCGTCATTTGCGTCTTATGTTAAAATTATTGTTTTTTACTTTTTACTAAATTAAATTGTTTGCAATACTTTTGTATAGACAGTAGTTAAATATTATTTTTAACTCCTTTCTTTCAATTAAATAAATACATCATAGTAAAATAATTCTCAACTTCGCATTTAAAACAAAAACAGGTTCGTTAAATTCTGATATCCTTAAATATTAAATGTATAATTATAATCTAACGAATAATAATGACAATAAAGTTTATACTAACACCATACAAGTATCATATTGTTGAGAGAGTATTATGGGGTTTGGACCCTTTCCAACCAATGTCCTATTTATTTTGATTTTAATTAAATTTTTAAAATTAATATCCAAATAATTTTGATTTTGATTTCATTTTTAATCCATTATTAAAATTGAAATTACATTTTTTTGACGGTATTATATGTTTTGTGAAATTATAATTATCATATTTTAAATTAAAATTATTTAAATGTGTGGTCATACAGTAACTTGTTATACGAGTACAATAATATAATTTCATAGTTTTTCAATCCAAACAATAAAAAATGTGTTTATCGTAGAATTAATGAATATATCAATTATATATACTCTGGCCAACTTTCTCTGTTTTATACTCATATTAAATTTAATGGTATATCTTTAAATTTAAAATAAGATAGCTGTAGTCAATACAAATCACATTTATTTTTAAATCTCAAAAACTGAAAACTTTATTAATTTTATTTCTATTTTTGAATTGGATTTTGTTAATTTCAGAATAAGATTATGGAGAATTTTAAGGTTAGTATAGTTTATGTATGCAAATTGTTAATGAGAAATAAAAAAATTATATATTTTACTAAATTAATAGCTGTTTAGAACAAGATTTTTTGTTTTGTGTAAAGTTCTTTAACAATATTTCTTATTAGTTTTTCAACATTTAAACGGTTCTTTATTATTTCAGAATGTTTTGTTTCAAATGGAATCAGTACCAGTTAGTATAATGCTATTAAGTTTACATAATATAAACTTAAGAGAAAAATGTTAAATTATAATTATTAACATCAATAATTTTATATGACATAGAATATTAATACACAGTGTGTATTAACAGTTTTAAATAATATTTTTATTTTATGTTTATTTATCGTATTTTTCAGTCTGTTTTAATAACATAATGTTTTTAGTAAATTCGTATAGAAATAGTATTTACATACTTGATTATAAAAATATTATTGAAATGTATATTGCAAATAAATATGAGTTTTATGTTCATTTTTTAAATAAGAACTTTTTATGTATTAGTTTCTAATTTTAGTGAAAAAGTAAATTAACAGCTAATTAACCGCCCATTATAAGATCAGCCTATCAAAATGTAAAAATAATATTTATTGTTATTTGTATAAAAATATCTATTAAAAAGAGGAAAAATAAATTTAGTTCCATTGAAAATGTTATAGTTGTGCTTACTGTCAAATGCAGCACCATATTTGATTATAAGTACATAACTGTATAATTCACAAAATAAAATAGTTACTATTATATTATATGAATTATACAAATATTCTGATAGAAAGTTCAGAATATTTTAGCTTCAATACGAAGCTGAGTAAGTATTAATTTTACCATAATGTGTTTATATATATTTTTTAAATCTGTCACTACTTTTTTTCGAGTCTTAATGGATAAATTTTTCAACGATACTTTTAAATATCATAAATAGTAGTTAGTTGAAAACATAACCCTTAAAAATTTTAAAAATTTACCCAGTTTTCTGTAAATGTGGGAATTTAAAAAAAAATACCATTTTTAAAATCGATAAATTTCGAAATTTTTTAAACTTTTAAAAAAAACACTGTGGAACACTATACTTATAAATCAAAGAACTGTTAATAAGGAATAATGAAGGAAATAGGAGTTAATTTTGCTTTTGGAATAATCCTTCAATTTATTGAAATTCAATACTATCTACAGATTTTTATAGAAGCATTTTTATGACAGTGATTTTAATCATTGTCAGAATCATTGTTACTTGTCCCAACTATGCCGCATCTTCCTGTGCTGGTTTTTTTCTTTAATTGATATGATTTATTTTGTTTTTTTTCAGGTTGATGATGATTCAATCAGTCAACAAATATATGTAAGTTCGCATAAAATTTTTAAAATCATAAATACTAAAAAAAGCACAAAATGGAATAAAAAATACATTCTTTGCTAGCGAATCGTTAATACTAGTGGATTAACAAATGATCTAGATAAAAGTACTCTATTACCTCGTCCTTTGTTGTTAAGTAAATATATAATAGAATACCAAAAATATTAAACTTATTTATTTCAGAAAGGATATTACTCGAAGTCAAATTATACCGTACGTAAGACGAAAATGCATTTTGTATATAGTAATATTTATGAAAAACTTGAATAAAATTATAATAACAACAACCAAACGTTTTTAACTATCATATAACATTCAACTAACATTATTTCTTTTTATATTTTGTATAAGTAAACATATAAATATTTTGTAAAAAATTTTGTTAATTGTTACCTTGTTGTTGATTCTAGTCGAACATTAAAAACATGAACAAGGCATTAAACGTGAGTATACAGGTCTTGATTTACTAATTCGTGGAACCAATACCATTTGTTATAATGGACACCTTAAATACTCATGGTACAAACATGACGTAGTGAACAAATTATAAACTATTTATTAAAAAAAAAATATATCAAAATACACTATTTACAAATTAAACGATATACAGAGCAATCAATTAAGGTAAAAACACTCATTATTAAAAAAAAAAAAATTGAATAATTTCAATTTTTGTAAAGTAAGCATATTGTTCGATTAAAAAAACTCTACAATTATATGCAATTAAATAATTTTTATCTCATCTCTTCAAGGATAAGAAACTTAAACTTTAATTTTCTTTAATAAGAACCCCTATTTTTAGATGTTTAAACAATTTTGACTATATATTCTTTTTTTATTAGAAGATGTACATCACCTAATATACCCTGTATATATATCTAATATATATATATATTATGAGCGCATTGCATGTATACTGAGATAGGCGCTAATGAACAACGTGATTATTCAAGTGTAATTTCGTCATTGTACGCTTATACTGTAACAGTATAATTGAACTTTAGAAAAATAAAAAGTCATCTAAGATCGAAAAAACTTAATTTCTTCCAAATTATTTTCAAGTAGGCCCAGCACATGTGTTTAATGTGCTCCCGTAAATATAAATACAGATATTAACATAAATATAGCACTGTGAGTGTAATGTGAATTGTTAGAAATAATCAAGCACATATTCAGAGAAGACTTTGGATTCCCTAATTAAATTCTGGGGCTATGTGCATGAAATTAATATATAAGAAATTTAATTTTTTTTTGTTTAATTATAATTTCTTGTATATTTTTATTGATTTAAAATTTTTTGTTTATTACAGTCAAGATTCGAAACGATTTTAAAAGATTTTAAGGTTTGTAATAATTATATAGTTTTGTTGTAACATATTATTAGCTCCCAAATACTTGCCTAAATGTACGCTTATGGTAAATAAAAACTACGGTTTATTAATATAACTAGAAATCGAGTTAAACTTACTAAGTTTTTAATGTTAATCAAAAGTTCCTTTTCGATTATTTTTATATTGGTGTATTTTAAATGGGAAATGCCTAATTACAAATAAACGAAATGTACATCTAGCGTAGAAAAATAATAAACTAATAATAATGTAATGAATAGAGTCATAATACAAGACAATGAATTATAACACTAAAGATATTTAAGTAGTTTTAATAAAATAAAATAAATAGTATTTAATAAAATTATATTTTTAATATTTTAGTTTAAAATGAATACTGTGAAACAAAATTTATCGGTACGTTAATTAATAATTAAATATATATACATTGAAATTTGAATAAATAAAGTTTTAATCCTTATAAGACAAAAAAGATGAGCATAAAAAATACTTCATGATTAATTAATTGAGACAAAATATTTAACTAAAATAAACCAAAATAAAATTCTCAATATTATCTCTTGTACGTTATAATTTTTTTATGCAATTAAATGATTCATATAAAAAGTTTTTACTTTCGATATGCAACACATTAAATTTAAATTTTATTTATATTATACTTTAATATTAATACACTGCGTATTTAATTCAGTTTCCTCAAAAACACAGTTCTTTTTGTACTAACAAAAAGCTAATAATTAGCTTTTTGTTAGTACAAAAATATCATATAATTATTATATGATATTAAATAAATTAGTTCTTTAATATTTTTCTGTTATAATAATTAAACATAATTTCAAAATAAATGTACTATATTATCATCGCCACATAAAAAATAACTAAGATATAATTAATCTTTTTATTAGGTATAATATTTATTAAAAATAATATTAAATAAAAATTTAATCGTGATTGCTTATTTATTTTTATAGATGTAGAACATTCAAGAAATCTTAAAAGAAGTAAAATAATTAACTTTGTTGGTGAATATTAGAATATTTCATATATCTAAAGCAATATATCATTAATATGCAAAAATAATTCCAATAATTGTGTTTTCAAATGTTAGATTTTAAACAGATTACAATAATTATCTTTTAAGATTTATTTTTTTATATTCAGACACCTAATGTAAAAAAAATAATTTAAAAACAAATTATTATTGTCAATTCATTTATATTAAAAAAAAATATATATAATGTTATTTTTAATTATTCATGAAATATAATTACAAAACGCTTTATAAAAAGGAACATTATTATTTTGTTTTTCTTAGTAACATAGACGCAATTTGATATTGTACAATAATTTAATATTGTAATTTTTACGGAGAAATTAGTTGTTACTTCTATGGCAAACGCGTAAAAAAAATTAATGGATTGATGCAGTACTTCTCAATAAAAACAAAATTTTGTCTTTTATTATTAAATATATACTGATCTACAAGAAATTTTCATCAGAATCAAAAATATACTTTTCTAAATCAATTTTTTGCGCTGTTTTAAATTCTGCAATTAGACTTCTCTATCAAGTCTAATTTTTGATATTATTACGAATTAGTAAAAAATGAGTATTCACATATAAAAAAAAAAAAAATTTTGCTTCAAATTATTACTAATTTTGATTTTTAATGTTTAATAAGTGCGAAATGTAACTTCTAATCTTTTTTTTTGGTCCTTAACGGTTGACTTTTGTGAGTTTTTAGTGAAAAAAAATTGAATTTGTTACTATAACTTTTAGTTCAACTGGTATGTTTGAAATTGATATCGTTATATAGAAAATTTTATGAGAATTACAAAAATTGTATTGTTAAGAATAATACGCTGTCAGGAAATTTTATAATTACTATTTACAGTAAATTTATCAGAATAGTTCAATTTTTTTTTTTTTAATCTTTATTGTAACAGATCAGTTAAATAGAAATCATAGTAATCATTTATAAGTAACCTTTGGTATTTAAAAAGATTCTATAATTGAAATATTCAGAACCTAATTAATTTTAATGATATACTTTATCTAAAAAAACCAATCAAAAAGTAGTTAAAAAATCTACTCAATTGAGTGTATAATAAAATTTGATTATAATTGTAAAAATTCATTGTTAAATTCAGGTGAAACTAAAAATCATTTTTTTTAGAAATGATTTATACAGTAACATGTAACCAAAATTTTTTGAAATATTATAGATTGGTAGTAGCATACACCAATAAAGTTAAAGAGGAATAAATTATAAAGTAAAATTATTTAATTTTGTAGCTCAAACCTAATTCGATAGTAAATACTTTAAAAACATTAGAAATTAATGATTTTATTTGTCTATATGGAGAACATGGGTTAAGTAACTTTTACTTGATAAAGGGATTTTTTTTCAATTTTTGAGAGTAATATCTTCTACTAAATACAAAATGTTATAATTTGTCGTATCGTTGAAAAAAATAGGTCAAATCAGAGCTGAGAAAATAAACGACAGCCACAAAAAAAAACCACATAGTAAAATAATTTTAATATGAATTTTTCTTACGAGGGGAGATTATAGTCATGAATATTGACATAAGGACAGAAAGTATTACTAAAATAGGAAGAATGGCCAAAGAGAGCAAAATTTGATCTAGGTACTAGTAATACTGTACGAGCACCATTGATTTATTCTTCTAAATATTTGCTACTACCATAACATATTAAGGGCACTCATAAAACAGTACGTCAAAGCTCTGGACCAAAAATAGCGATTATTTCTATTACATAGGAGAAAAGTTTTCTACGATAAATGATGCAAAGATAAACGAGGGAACTTTTAATGGACCACACTTTTGGAGTTTATTTGAGCACATAAATTTCGTTAAAAAAATGAATAATAAGAGATCAGCTTGGCTTAGTTTTAATTATGTCACAAAACTTTTTGGGATGAATAAAAGTGAGAATCACTACATTACTTCATCAAGGCATAAGTGAAATGGAGTGTTGGTATCAAGGAATTAGGAATGTATTTTGGAATACATTTATTGTGTCACTATTTTATTCTTCTTTCTTCTTACTTTATTAAGTGTTTCATAAAGTTATGAAATAGAATAACTCTTGACTTATTCTCTTTGATACAAAAATGCAGCCGTCTATAGGCATACTAATAAGTATATCTATAAGGATAATTTGTACAGATAATATATTTATACTCAGCTTTATTTATTTTTACAGATAAGATATGTTGTGGCATTAGCCAAAATAAATTGTTTTAAATTCTTGACTCTACATATACATAATAAATAAATTGGTTATGAATATAAAATAAAATAAATTTATCAAATCAGAAAATTTTTTAACCAAAATTAAATGCTGAAAAAATGTATAATTTGTATACTATATTACATTCATTGACACAGATATCATTTTTTATAACTTACCACTAAAATAAAAGTACATTTTACTCCTGAATATTTTTTTAAGTATTAATTGTATTTATTTTACTAGATAATTAGTTTACAATATGAATTAAAACTTTAAAAATTGAATATACCTTCATATTATTTACAAAAGATAAATTTCTTATGAAACATTGAATTGAATAAACAAAATTGATATTTACACTAAAAACAATATTATTATATACATTTTAAAAATGTATAACCCTAGCTTCAGATGGAAGTTGCTCTTTAGGACAATATGGACATTTTAATCGACCAGATCTCTCCAACTTATGGAGAGCATCTTTAGAAATTACATGACCACAAACTAACATCATTGGAGGATTAGATGAACTACTTCTAGTTCTTAAAATAGGACATGCAAATACAGAATGATAAGCAAAACCAGTATCAATTTTGATAGGAAGTTCATCATTTTCATTCCAAACTCCACCAACATCTCGACAAATGGCTTGTTTAATATCCAATAGAGTAGGTAAAGCTGAACAACCAACATTTACACTAATACTTAGTAAGTCATCATCACTTAAACATGATTCTTTTAAAAATAGATCAATTACATCATCACGTATTTGTTCAATGTTTGGAAGGTACAACAACATTCCCATAGTAGACTGTATCTCTTTTTGTTTATCTAAAAAATTGTTGAAATTTGCACGAGCATAAACAACAGCTTCATAGTGATTTCCTTCACTTAAAATATCTAGAAAAACAATTTGATGAAGTTTAAACTCTAAATCTGATTTTTTGGCATCTAAATGAATCTTATTTTGTCGAACCCATTCAAAAGCTGGTTGAGTATTTTTACGTTTTAAGCAATCAACAATATGATTTAAATGTAAATAATGTTGTTTTTGTCCATCATCAATTGTTAAGCCCACTTCTTTTAAAAATTCTTCAGCAACTTCCCACTTTGAATCTTTGTACAAATGTAAACATATAATTTTGTTTAATATCTCTTTTTCATGATCAGTTTTAAATACTTTCTTATTACTAGCTTCAGTATAATCACTAATAAAATTTTTGTCAATACTTTTTCCAACTCTTGAAACATCACTATGCCATCTTCTATGTTCATTAGTGATTTCTTTAATGGAAAGTTTTATTTGTAAAATTGTTGAAGATAACTCACAATGATCTATTCCAGAACCTTGACTCTCGAATTCTTTTTTATATCTTTCCAATGTAGATATGAATCTATGTAATTGAAATTGCCATTTTTGACCATATTTGTTGTATTTAGCTAATATTTTTTCAACATCAGCTTCCACATTTTGACAAGCATCCATAGTATTTATTTATTCAATCAAAACTATAATTTAATTAATTTACTTTTTTAATGATAATTTTATTTGAGACAACAGGAAAAAAATGATAAGTATTATCTAATATTCATTCCCATTTTGACTGCTTGAGTTTGTAAATTTCATGGCGACCATCTTCAGCAACTGTTGGATAATAACCCATTTTTTCATACTGATGTCTCATGTATATCAAGTAACCAAAGGTAAACGATATAGAGACAACTCCTAATGCCATAATAACTTTATTCTGAAAATTGTTTTAAAAAAATATGTTATAAAATGACAATTTAATAACAATTATTAGACTAGAATAGAACTATTATATTTTTTATTAACACATTTAATCAAAAAATAGTAAGATTTCTAGTTAATAATTTTTTTTAGATCTAATCAAAAAAAGTAATAATTAAATTATTAGTTAAATAAAACAATATGTATATAAGAAAATGGTGCACATGATTATAAATTTATGTAAAAAAGCTCAACAAAATTACTAAAAATGTATACTTAGTGTTTAACTATTAAATTCATTCCAATATTTTAACTAAACACTACTAAGTTTATAGGAGATTATCAAATCATGGATAATATAAGTTATAGTCTACTGTTAAACACTATAAATAATAAACATTATGATAAATATTTTTATATTCATCGAATGATAATTAATAACTCAAAAAACAAAGTAAAAATATTTACAGGTTTTGAATAAAGTTCAAAATTAATAATACGAAAAACTCTTGATGTTTTTAGAGACCTAATACCATCTCCGGGTGTTGTTGGTTCTTGACTTTTCATACCTTTAAAATACAGACATTAATGAATATAACACCAATCAAAACACAATAAATTAAATGTCATTACCTATTATTCTTTACACATGCATTTAATGGATTTTAAGAAAAACTACGAGTGTAAACTAAAAGTGTAACAATCAATAGTAATTAAGGATTAATTATAAATTTTTACCAACTATGAAAATTAAAACATGTTGAAAGATGTTATAAGTCAAATTAAGTACAGTGTAACACTACAGATAAGGTGAGGTAATACATTATCAATGGAATACAAAAAGCTTACCACTGCAGTGGTTTATGATATATGAGATAGAGGATTATCACTTATCAAAGATTCTTATTTATCATAAACTATTTAAAATGAATAAGTCAAGAAACGATTTTCAAATATTAATAATTTCTTGTAAATAAATACATTTATTATTTTTATGTCTTAGTAAAGGACTATAAAATAAACATTTATTGAATTATATCTCTAATTGTGTATCATTTTGAAATTATATTATGGATACTGAGAGTGACAAGGGAAAAACTCCGTTTAAAGTTCCTCAACTTCTTATAGGCTCAAGACCCGGTATAAAAAAATCTATAAAAGATGTTCAAGAAAAAAAATCAGAAAGTAATGAAAATTTGAAATTTCAAGATGATGGCTCAGTAGAAAAAATCACAGATCCTAAAGAAAAGCCAAAAAAAATATCTCAAGTGCCTATTCCATACGATGAACCATCATGGGGTGGAAAACCAGGAGATAAATATTTTTTAGAGGTATGATGTAAATTTTTCTGAAATTTTATACATAAAAATATGTGTACTTATATATCTTCTTTAGGAAATGAAATCAGGTGTTATATTAAGTGCTATAACATTAGAAGGCAGATCATTTCATTGTTTTGGTCGTTTAGATAATTGTCATGTTACTTTGGCACATCCCACAATTTCTAGATTTCATGCAATTCTTCAATATCGATCAACATTTACAGCTAATGATGAAAAACGTGGATTTTACTTATATGATTTAGATAGTACTCATGGGACATTCCTTAATCGAATGAGAATAAAACCTAAGACCTATGTCAAGGTTCATGTAAGTTAAATTTTAGAAAATAATTCAAATGAAATTTAATAAATTAATTTTTTTTAATTTTTACTTCATTTATACTGTAAAGGTAGGTCATTTGATAACTTTTGGTGGAAGTACTAGAATGTATCTTTTACAAGGACCATCAGATGATGAAGAAGAAGAATCTGAACTAACTGTTACTGAATTAAAAGCAAAACGACAGGCAGAACTTGAACAAAAAGAAAGAGATAAAAAATTTATAAAATTAAAATTAGAAGAAGAAGAAAGAAAAAAATTAGAACAGGGTGTAGATTGGGGAATGGGTATGTGATATATGTTATAAATATAATGTAAATGAGATATTCTTAATTGAGAATCATTTATTATAAACAGGTGAAGATGCTGACGAAGAGGGAGATACTAAAGAAAATCCATATGCACCTAAAGATAATGAACAGTTGTATTTAGATGACCCCAAAAAAACATTGAAAGGCTGGTTTGATAGAGAAGGACAAGAACTTGAGTATGATGTTTCAGAAAAAGGATTTGGTACTTTTACATGTCGCATTGAGTAAGAATTACACTGAAAATAATGATTTAAATACACATAAATAAAATTCTACAAATTCTGGGGGTTCCATTGTGTTGTACTAAGCTGTGTAGTTTTTTCAATCTTTTACGGCACAAGCAGTAGCTTTTAGAGAAGATGTAAAATATAATTAAATGATTAATTAATAATTAATGACTAATATGTTTTTTTATTTACATCTAGGTTGCCAATAGCTAATATTACTGGTAGACCTCAGATTGCTGAAGCTACAGTTAGTGGGAAAAAAAAAGAAGCAATAGTTCATTGTGCTTTAGAAGCATGTAAAATATTAGACATGTATGGCCTTTTAAGACAAGCAACTCATGGTAATAAAATATTATCTCAGGATAAAAAGAAATCCTTTTTTTTTTTACATTAAAATTAATAATATATTGTATAATATATAAAATATTCAAAATAATTTCTAATAATTAAAAAATTAATATTTTGATGTCATATTAGATTTAAATGCACTTAAAGTATAAATAAATAAAATACATTTTACTGATATTAGTTTTGCATGTATTTAGAAAGTAGAAAGCGGAAGGAAAAAAATTGGGAAGCCGATGATTTTTATGATAGTGATGATGACAATTTCTTTGATCGAACTGGAGATATTGATGCTAAACGTAAAAAACGAATGAAAAAGTTTGGTAAAACTGTTGAAACAGTTGATACATATGAAACATTGGTATACAATTTTATTAATATTATTTAAAATTAAGAATAACAATTAAATTGATTAAAATTGGAATTTTTTTTTTAAAGATTTTTAAATGGAATATTATTAGCTGTTTATTAGGGTGGTCCTCCAAAAAAAAATTTGATTTTTTGTTTGCAAGATATCCTAATTTTTTTGAGAAATTCTTTTATTATTCATCGTTTTTGTTTAAGTACGATATTCATCTCTTTTAAGGACTATAATTAGCAAATAGATTTATTTAAATTTTTATAATTACTATAACAATTTTTAATTAAAAGTGTATTAAAATGTGTAATTGGGTTTATAATTTTAATTTTTTTTTAAAAAAACAATCTGTACATAAAATTTATAATACATTTTTTTGTTGACTTATTCAATTACATAGCATTGAAAGGAAGTTACCCAGTTGTAACACCTCAATTAGTTTTAGTTAAAACTGTATACAAATTATAGTTTTATTGTTGTTGTTAATTCGTTAAATCAATAAGTCTTAGTAGCATTTACATTTGAGTCTTGTTGTCTCGGTCTATTGTTGAGTCGAGTTTTGGTAGGTTATGTATTGAAATTGTATAAATTTTTGTAATTAAAGGGTTTGTGTTTATATTAAGTTTTGAGTGAAAACTAGTATAGTATAAAATAGCAAGTTCTTTGATAGTTTTAATGTTTAAATCTTTGTGTAGGTTATTATTTGTTACATACCATAGCGCACCAGTTAACATTCATAATGTTATATTTTGAAAGGATTGTATTGGTCGAATGTTAGATGGTTTTGCTGGTCCCCATATTTGAATACCACAAGACCAGACTAGTTTGATTATTGATTGATAAATGAGTAATTTTGTTTTGAGAGGTAATTTAGATTTTAGTAATGAACGAAAGATAAGAAGTCTGCTGTTGGTTTTTTTCCTTTTGTTTTTCAGGCGAAGTCCCCGCGTCAATCGTTTGTCAAAAATTAATTTTAAATCTGGACATTTTTTGGATCTGAGAGCAAATGTTATATGACTCGACTTATTTGCATTTATTTTATAAATAATTTTAATTAATATAGTTTTATTTTTTTAACAGAGCTTTCATTGTCTATCTTTTGCACTGTGGATACAATTTCCTATATATTTGTACCACATTTGAAGAATAAAGAGAAATTTTAGTTGACATTAAATTAATTAATATTTATATACTTGTAATTAGAATTGCTTTTCATTTTTATTTCTAGTATTTTTATCATTGCACTCTTCCATGAAATTGACATCCTGCTTGGCATTATCGTTCACTATTTGTAATTCTTCAACAATTTGTTGACTTGATAAATAACATGGGTGGTTTTCTTATATAGTTGGTTCTATATCTAAAAAATCTGTACTTATTTCATATATTTTGATTAAGTCCAGAGATTGGTAACAAAAAAAAAAGAAGTTGGTAGCTTCTTTGTCTAAAAATCTGTTACATTTCAATTTTTAGGTGCATTTCTTTATCCAAATTCATTTTCTTGAGCTGCATTTAGTTTTAGTTTTTTGATAACAAAAGACCACTCTACTGTTTGTATTAGTAAACCGATTTTATTTTTGTACTAAATTTCTTTCTATTAGATAAGAAAAAAAGGAGAGTTAAATGTTATAATGCGATTAAGGTAATTTGATTGCCTTATAATTCTAGAGATTATAAACATAGATAAATAGCTAACATTAAAAAAAAAAAATAGGTTTTTATGTGGTTATTAGTTTTTCTGAATTTTTATTTTAGATAGAAAAACACAAACTATTGGCTGCTGACATAAAGTATACATCAAGTAAACTTAATAGGTTAAATAAAAATGTAAATAAAGAATATGGAGAAGATAAAAATGAAGAAGATTCTTTGGAATCATACATGGCTGATTTAAGAAATTATAAGACTGTTGATAAAACAGAAATTGAAAAATTAAGAGTAAAATTATTTAAAGAAATATATATTATGAATATTATTAATTTAGTATTTATTTACTTTTACTTAGAATAAATTAAATGAATTACAAGAAGAAGAAGAAAAACTTAGAAAAATAATAAACATTGTTAAACCTACTTTTTTTCCTGAACTAACAAAACCTCAGGTAGAAGAAATCAAAGCAGCAGTTGAAATTAATTCAAATAACAGAATAATTAACACTGAAAAAGTCATAAAACAAGTAAATAAAAAAGAAGAATTTAATAAAACTGAAAGTCCAGATATGATGAAAGTTACAATTTTATCAAATAATGATGTTGATGTTAAAAAAGACGGTGCAAAAAAGGACGAAGGTAAAATAAATATAAACCAATGGTTAATATTTTTATATAAAAAAAATGTATGATAATTATGAGTGGATCGGATACTAAAATCTATAAAGAATATAAAGTAGTATTAAGTTCTCTCTATAAGCATAAGCTTTCAAGAAATAATGTTAAATTTAGATAGTATAATAATAATAATTATTATTATTATTTGAATAAAATAAATATGAAACAAAAATAAAAATGGCACTTTAATATAATAGCTTTTTTTTTATTCAAGATTTGATAAAGTATTATGATATAGTATAAGTTATGTTAGCTGTTAAATTTTTCCATTATGAGTAGTAATTAAGAATAATTTGTGATACATAAAACATATTTAGTTTTTTCAGATTACATTTAATTACTGAAATTTATTAGAGCTTTCTACAAATGCATTTGATTAATATTTTTTTACACTTACTAATTTATTGTTACTTTAATTATTTATTGTTTTAGAAAAAGTGTTAAAAGAATTAAAAGAAGCTGAGAAAAGGCAAAAACAGTTGGAAAAAAAAGAAAAAAAGGTATGTCAAAACAGCTAAATAAAAATGTTTTAGCTTAATTGAAGTACCTGCTGCAACAACTTGAGAACTTCATTTTTTATAAAAATTAATTTTTGATTAAGTATTACAAAGAAAGTGCTTTATTTTTTTTTTAATAACGGTTATATAAAACAGCTAATAAGTCATTGAGTTTTAATACATAAGACAAGATTTTTTTTTAGTGCTTCAGAAAACTGTTTTGTAAGTTTGTGTTTGTTACAACAGGTCTATAAATTGTTGACTAATTGAAAGGCTTACTAATAGTTGAAATTTAAATTCCAGAGGTTGATTTTTTTGTTTTTTAAACATACTTCCGATTCCACTAGCATGTCAGAAAAAATGATCAAAAATCGTATTAAGTGTTTTAAACATCTTAGAGATCTAATATAGTTTTCTTAATCTATTTGAAATGGTGCATCCAACCTTCATTTTATCTATTATAAATAATAATGTACAACATTTTATACATATATATTTTTTTCTACCAATGTAGTATTTTAATTATAATTTCTGAAACAAAAGATATTATGTCTAAAATAAAATACACACATTACATCTTTCATATTGCACACTCACACTATATAAAAAAAAAAAAAAAAACAATAATTATTTATACAGTAATAGAAGGGATTATTTAATTTTTAAATTAAAAAAATAGTTGAAATCTGCTTGGGGACACTAATGTCTCCCAGGAAGTGTTAAGTAGCCAAAGTATCCCCCTTTTCGAGCCTGTATTAAATTTAGAGTATTCAACAAGGTATTCACTAAATAAATTTTTGTGGCATCTATTATATCTTTATAGAAGTTAGATATATAACAATAGAATAGTTAAATGGGTATTTAATGATTAAAACTAAAATTCACTTTGATTAAAATTGGATGATTTTTAATTTTAACACATTTTATTTTTGCATAATATATTCACTACACATGATAATTTTTCTTTTTTTAAAGTGAAAATTAATACAATTTATTCACTTTTCACTTACATATTTCTATTATTTTAGATTATTGCCAAGAGTGTAAAAAAAGATATGGAGGAAGATTTTGGGAACATGGTTTGGAGACCGCCAGCTAACCAAAAGGGTGATGGACGTACTAGTTTAAATGACAAATATGGCTATTAATAATTTTCTATTAATATAATGAATCTATTAAATTTTTTTTTTGTAAAATATTGCTGTAAATAAAGTATTATTTATATAATTATTTATATTATAAATAATTTTATAATATTTGACAATAATCAAGAAATTAAAATCATTAAATAGTTAATTATAAAGTAGTTAAGTTCATGGAGTTAAAAGTGTAGATATACATATGGTACCATCATCTGAACCAGTTACACATGTGCCACACTGATTAAGAGATGACCAATCACAAACAATAGGAAAACTTCTGTGTTCTTTTAATGATAGAACTATACTTAATCCACTGCTAGTAATCTATTAAAGAAAAAATAACATAAGAATATCATTTAGAGAAACCATTTAAAAACCAATGTTTCGAATATCATTTATTTTACTTTATAAATATTTCCTCCATTATTTTGGCTATGGGATAATAACATGTAACTGCCAGATTGATCTATTGTAAAAGCTTGGTTCAAGCACATATTTGATTGGAGTAGATTATCATTTTTAAGATTCACTTCCCAAACACATGACTGTTTATTGCCATTCATACTAGTTCGACAAATCTAAAATATATTATTGAAGCATTACAAAATAATATGCAAATGTTGACAAGAAAAATAAATAATTTCAGACATTTTTCGATAAGAAGTTTATGATGCAATCTAAAATAAAAATAATAAGTATAAAGTATGAAATTGTTTAAAAATTGAAATTAAAATTATATTTTAGAGAAAAGGACGACACAGTAACAAGATTGGTGAAGTGATATAAGGTGTTTTATTAACGGCAACATTTTTATTCAAAAATATTTTTATATAATTCTAATCTTATACAATTATACCACTTGTTTTCATCAAAAATGTACTTGTAACATTTATTAATGAAGCCATTAATATCTGTACATTATAATTTGTAAGAATAATGATAAAAACAGTAATAATTAAACAATTACTTTTTTATCAGCTCCTAAAGTATAACAATCATTGTGGTCTGGAGACAATTGTAAACACATTAAACAGTCTGTATGTGGAGTCCATCGGTCAACAATCTCACTATGTCTAAGATCAACAGTTCGTACTGAGCCATCAGTACATCCAGCATATAGCAATTGTCCATTATGGTTATAAGAACAGCATGTTACAGCCACATCATCATTTCCCAGAATAAGTTGCCTCTATAGTTTGTTAAGATAAATAAATCATGTTAGGATTGTACTAAAAATTTTTATAATTATATTTTAATGAATTTTTACACATATAATAATTAGAAAATTAAAGATATATAAAAATAGGGAAAATTGTTTTAAGAAGTCGTACATTTTTCATGAAAAATTTAATTTAATATATTTAATTTAACAATCTTCATAATTATAGCAAAACTTTTTATCACTATTAACAAAAATTTCAAAACTACTTTTAATATTAAAAGTATAAGTGTAGATAGTTTTATTGGTAATAGTTAATTATCAACATATTATTAACTTATATTTTTATATCATTTTATTTCTAAAAATAACCAATGACATACATGATGTTTTAGTAATTTTAGTAGCTTTTTGAGTTAAATATTTTTAGTTTTAATTAATGACTAACCTCCATTTTTTTTGTTTTGAGATCATATAACAATAATTTATTATTATCTTTAGAAACCAAGGAACATACAAATGTAGAGTCTGTAGGACTACATTTAATTGTTTGAATTCTTAAATTAGATGACTGTTTGAAAGGATTCAATTCCCATAAGATCTTCATTTCTTTGGCATCATACAAAATTATTGTACAGTCATCACACCCTAGTAGTATAAAGCGATCATTAGTTTTCAGCCAGTCAAGACTGAATACTACTTTTTTTAAATTTGTAGAACCAATAACTCTGAAAAAATAGTATTTTTAAAACATGTTACAATAGAGGTTTAAGTAAGTAAAAAATATATGCTTTTCTTCTTTGTAACATTTAAATAAGTATACTATACAAAATAAAAACACTTATTATTTCTTATTTAAGTTTTTCTTTTTTGATTCTTAGAAATTTTATAATGATGTATAAACAAAGAAAATTACTTAGGAGATGGTGCAGCAGTCCAAATTTTCAAACAACCATCACTGTCAGAACTAGCTATAAGTGAGCCAGACAAATTGAATCGACATTGAGTGATTTTTGACTTGTGTTCATTAAATGACTCCTAAAGAAACAAAATATATTATCAAAATTTTAGCTAGTACTATGAAAAGTATTAGTTTTTTTTAAGTAATTACTTGACTCAATAAAAGAAATGGAGGAACTTTTTGTTGCTTTTTGTCTAAATTATCTAAACTTGTGTCTCGAGGACTTCTATTGCGAATAGAATCTCGTTCAAGAGATATTGATCGTTTTGATACTGTTCTACGACTACTTTCACTAATAAGAAATATAATAGACTTATTAATCATTTTTAATTTCCCGTTAAAGAAAATATGCTTATAAATACAATCAAAGATCTTTTACTTTCAAAATAAATTTAAACAAAATATTATCAAAAATAAAAATTTTACATAGTACTTCCTAATTTATTCATGACATTTGAAGAAGGAGATGTTGATAGGCTTGAAGATAGTTTAGAATTAGCGTTTCCAAAATTTTTTTTGAAATTAGTGTCTAAAATATAGCACATCAATAAAATAAATAACTACTTTATAAAATTATAAGAACAAATCGATATTATAAAAAACCTGTATTTGTTGGAATATGCTGAGGTACACGTTTTGTGTTCATCTGTTTTCCCAATATTGGACTTGTGGGAAGTCCTCCTATAGTTCGTATAAGTGTTCTTAATGACTTCATTGACGTTTCAGTATCAGTGTTTTTTATTGTTTCTCTATTTAAAATATTTCAACATAAATTACAATTAAGTACAATTAACATATTTAGTTTTAATTTTTTTTTTACTGAGAAACAGTATAAAAGTCATCTATTATATCAATAGGCGGTTTTGTAGTATAAGATCCACTGACTGTATTATACTTTGGTTGAGATACTCCTTCAGTAAGTTTTTGTTTTAATATATCAATTTCATCTTGGAGTCGTTTAATTTTATTAGCATCTTCTTCATATTGGCACAATCGAGGTCGTGGTATAATCTGTGTGATAAATCATAATTAGTAATTAAACAATTAATGTAATTATACATCTTACTTGATAAACAATGGATAAAAAGTTATGCAATGATACAAAAAAAGAATCCTGCCATTGTTTAGTGAAATAAATAGCAAATAAAGGATTTTCTTCTACATTCTTAAGATATGGTAACACTTAAAATTATCAATACCATTAATAATGAAAAAAAAAAAAAATTGAAATAAAATTAAACTTACTAAACCAATCTTTCCATTCTGCTTGTGTTTGTAAGTCATTGGTCATTTTTATTAAAAATTCATTAACTTTATCAGATCGATTGTTAATTATTGCATGAACAACATAAAATTTGAGCAAACTGTTTTCCAATTTTTTTACAGCTAAAAAATGACTTATTAATTATATAATAAACTTAATTGAATCATAGATTTTAAAAAGGGCTCAACTAGGATTTTTAAGAGACGCTAAAATATGAAAAACTATTATACCATTACAGTTTAGTATGCAATATATAACCTTAAAATTTTTTATTAAATGAAAATAGCACTTTAAGTTTTTTTAATTTTCCAAGATGAGTCCTTTTCAAAGTTGGTGATTCATTTTCAAACTCAATTTACTAAATATAACATACCTGATGATATGTCATGGTCCAATTTTGAAAAAAGTTTATTTTCAAAATGTGACCATAATTCTCGAATTAAAGTAAAGTCATAAGAATAAACCAACTGTAAAATTTGATCTACTAATTTATCAACCTAAAATAAAATAAAATATATTACAGCAGTAAAGATGAATTTATAATATATAGATTGTTCAATAAGGAAAATTGTCAATTGTATATATATGTATATGTATATAGTAAAATAGAAGAAGTAGTTATTTTAAATATTTTAAGATTGAATGACCACACATAATGTGTTTAATTATTGTTACCATTCTGTTAAATGGAAAAAACTATTATACATTAAATGTTAAATAATAAAATTTATAGTTATTTTAAAATTATAACAATAAGTTTATTTGTAAAGATTAATTTTTATGGTTTTCAATAATAAAAAATAAATAAATTATTAATAAATACAAGCTGAAATGATACTTACTCTGAATCCCTTATCTTTGTCAGCTTTAATATCAAAATCAAACCATTTTAATGAGTTGGTAAATCCTCGAAATAGTAGGTACTCTCGAATCAATTCATCTATGTGCTGCATATGAGGCATAATGTTCAAAAATACATAAAAAATTACAATTCAAAACAGTGTTATTTAATCTAATATTAGGAGAAAATAATCATTGACATGATAAAATGTTTCCATTCAAATAATACTGTCCAGTTAAAAAATTGTCAAAACATGTAGAATGAAAAATGTATGTTAATTGTCTATTAAAATTTATGTTATTTAATATCTACTAAATCGAAGTTAGATATTATTAAAGATAAAATAAATTTCATATCATTTAATCTGTGGTATTATCATTTATCAAATTCGCTCCTGATTTTGATAACAATTTACTAAATAGAAATGAGTAAAAATATCGTTAAGTATATTACATGAATAATTATTTATTATAGTAATTAAATTTAGTATGAAAATGGTATTCAATAATTTAGTTTATTTTTACGGAGAAATAAAAATTTATAAAGTTGTTGTATACAGATGATTCTCTTAATATTAACGACTTAATGACTCTTTAAATAATAATTATAATAAAAAATAGTTATAATCATCATCATCATCTATTATCATCAAGGCAACCCTTGTCGTTGAAGCCATTCCTCTTTGTTTGATGCCAAATTCTTCAGTGAAATAAATGACACATAGTTCATGAATTCCAGGATATTTTCAAAATATTGTTTTCTTGGGCATCTTCTTGGTTTCTTCACAGTTATTTTTCCTTCAAAGATGTTGATTAGAAAGTCATTTTGCCAGATGATGTGTCTGATTAACTTAATTTTTCTTGATTCAATCACCTTCATCAGCTGTCTTTCTTCTCGTAGTTCTTCTAGCACTTGCTCATTTCTTTCTTGTCTATCCATTTTATCTTTGTCATTTTTTTCTATATCCATAACTAATGATGTTAGTTTGCTTCTATCTTTCTTGTCAATTGTCCATGTTTCACAGCCATATGAAAGTACACTCTAAACAAATGTTTTCACAAATATTTTACATGTACCAATGCTCAGATGTTTATTGGTGAGATGCTGATTCTTATTTTCGAATGCTTGCTTTGCCAATACTATTCTTCTTTTGATGTTTGGAGTTGATTTGTTATTGGAAGCTATATTTTCAAAGTAGCAGAATTCTCAGACTTGTTTTAATAGTGTAATAATATAATATGTCATAATATTCAATATAATGGTTCAAAGTTGTCATTTAGTTAATTAAATATTTTTTTATTTTATAAGCTAGTTATATTACCATTATAAGATTAAATGAATTAAATTACAAGATATTACCATTAAAATAGAATAGACAAAAATGGCTAAAAATAACTATTAAAAGAATCACTCTGTATTTCGTTACCTCATTTCTTATAAGACATTGGTAGCTAGAACATTTTTGTTGGATAAGGTAGTCCATTTCCTTTTAATATACTTATTGAGTTTATATTCAGAAAGTTCATTCCTAAAAGAAAATAAATATAATCTTATGACGGTTTAACAATTTTAAACTTATTGAACACTCAGATTCTAAAAAATTAATGTAGTTTATATTAATGAATTAAATAATTATAAAAGCCAAAACAATACTTAAATACAAAATTCATATTCATAGAATATCTGTTCAAAGTTACAAGTTAATATAAGTTATAGAACACTATTTATTTTTTTATTAAAAATTATAGAATCTATAAATTAATATAAGTCCCCCCTTTAATTACCAATTATTACTAATTTTGCATCTTTAATTTATCACATAAAGCCCTTAATTACAAAATTTCACCCCTAACTACTCTTATATACCCCCTTAACTAAGAATTTTTTACCCCTCGACTACTAACTTCACCCCTAACTACTTCTATATACCCCCTTAACTAAGAATTTTTTACCCATCGACTACTAACTTCACCCCTAACTACTTATATATACCCCCTTAACTAAGAATTTTACCCCTTAACTACAAAATTCACCCTTAACCATTCTTTTACGCACCCCCTTAACTACTATTTTTACCCCTAACTACTTTTTATATACTCCTTAATTACACTTAAATTACTAATTTCGCCCCTTAATTATATAATTTTATACCTCCTTATAATGACTTTAAACCCTTAATTACTAAATATTATTAATTTTCACCCCCTTAATTACTAATTATTATTTAACTCCCTTAATACTAAATACTATCATAGAATAATTACTATTATTCTGCAAAGAAATTATAATAAAAGTTTATAAAATATATTAATAATCAAAAATAATTGCTAAATTCTTATTAAGTCAAACAAAAGCTTATCAATAAGAACAAACAATATAATAAAAATTGATCATTGTGGCTATTATTAATTTAAAACTAAAAAATATAAGATGGTGAATGTTTTTTCAATAATGTTATTTTTATATTTTGGCTAAAATACTTTCTAAATTATATTTGTTCGAATGAAATACTATTCTACTATATTAAAGTTCATTAAAATTATTTTTTAGCAAAAATATTTTCGTATAAACTACTGTAGGTTCTATATTTTTCGGCTGTCTTTTAGTCTCCCTATTTTTTACATTTGATGATTTTCCAAGTATCTCTAGAAGATTCCATTTCCAATATGGGGTATTTGAATTTTACTTCGTTAAAGGGTATTATCTTTGGATAAAGTTAGGCTTTATTTTATTAGTGTTAATACTCCTTTAGTATACTTATTCCGTCCCAAATTCAAAGAAGCCTATAGAGGCTCTTTGGATTACTCAATATCTACCAGCCCATGCTAAAATATCGTGGTGTTAAAAAAGTAAGGGAACAGATCAAATATTACAAAAAATGAAAAGAATAGAAACCCATTTTTCTTACTTATTGAACACTTTGTATATTATAAATTCATCTTTAATGTTGCAATACATATGTACAGAATGGAGCAGTATAACTGACAGCTCTTACAACTTTTGATCCAATAATCCTTTTGTTGTAATTTTTTTTAACAACTTTTGCATTTATATACTATGTTAGAAACACATTTTAATTTTTTGAATAATACTTACAACTAATAAAAGGATTTAGCCTTTAATTAGATTTAATTTCCTACTTGGAAAATAAAAAATACAAACATATATTTTTTAATTTTATTTTACACAGCTATACAATCAAATACTTAATTCTATAATACAATCAAATTAATTTTAACTTACTAATTTTACAATTTAAACAGGCAAGGTTTATTAATAAATTATATATTTCAGGCAAAAATTATACATACTAAGGGTTATGAACAATATGTTTAAATTATGTTAAATAAATAAAACAAAATAAATTATTAGGAAGTTTCAAATTAATTTAAATAATTTAGCAACAGGATTTAAATAATAGCTTTAATAACAGCGTCAGTGAATTCATGAGTACTACTTGATCCACCTAAGTCTCTAGTTCTTACTTTTCCCGCAGCTAATACTTCTCTAATAGCAGTTCTTATAGCTTCACTATAGTATTGTAGATTAACATGTCTTAACATTTTAGATGCGCACATTAACATTGCTGTTGGATTAGCAATGTTCTTACCAACAGCAGTTTGGAAAACATGTCTTGCACCCTAATAGTTTTAGTTCAGCAAAATAATTAATAAAAAAATTTAGATTTAAAACATAAAGAAAATATTAATTTACTGGTTCAAAAACAGCACATTCTGGACTGAATGATGAACTGGCAACAACACCAGCTCCACCAACTAAGCCAGCTCCCAAATTATCTAATATATTACCATATAAATTGGGCATAACTAATATATCAAATTGTTGAGGGTTGGATACCATTTGCATAGTACAGTTGTCCACAATCATAGATTCAAAGTTTACACTTGGATACAATTGTTTAATCTAAAAATAAGTATCAGAATATCATTTTTGGAAAATGTGATTTTTAGCTTCGATGCAAAGCTGAGTTTATAATTTTACTAAGTGTTTAAAAAAACATACCAAAATAATTCTTTTTTAAATTGAAACGTTAGATATTTCCCTATCATTTGATATAAATTTTTTGAAAATTTTACCCTTACCTGCTCACAGGGGGGATTCAAAATAGCAACTTCTGCGCAAAAATTAAACATTTTTAACTTAAGTTTTGAAAATGTTCTGGAAATACTCCGATATGTTAAAATAAAGCTAATGTTATGCAATTTAAGTTAAAAAAGTTAGTCCCGACGATTAATTTTTTATGTACAAATTGCTGATTCTAATTACAGTCAGATATCATCTATACTTGTTCCAATTAGGCAATATCCATACTGAGCCACAACCCCACTACGCTACCATTTTTTTTTTTTAATAAAATAACTTATCTTAGCTATGTGATAATGTGGTAAAATATTAATTTTATACGCATGCTAGAATATTATTTAATCAACATAATATTTTTATTTTATTATAAAAAGGGCCTGGTTCAACTTTTTTGCAAAATTCATTTTCTTGTGATACATATTATTGAATATTGTAATTTCATTAATATTTATGCAGTTTTAAATAAAAATATAACATGTACAAAAAACAAATGTTTCCTTTTTAGTAATAATAAACTATAAAAATTATTTGAATAAGAGCGCAATTCTACCATTCTTAAACTATTATTAAGGCTGTTAATAAAAAAAAGTTATATTTTATAAATTAAATCCAACTTATTTAATATATTAAAAACGAAAATAATAATAATCTTATAAATTTTTTTTTGTATCTCCAGGAAAAATACAAAATTCAGAATGGACCCTTTTTTCTAATAAGCATTAAATTTTATACATTAAAAAAAAATGTTATATTTGTTTTGTATTACTTCAGTACAACTTTTTAAAAATAATCCGTCTCCTAATTTCATAATATTTGCTTTATGAACACAAGTAACTCGTTTACGGTTGTTTCTAATTGCATAATCAAAAGCAAATTTAGCTATTCTTTGAGATTTTGCTGCTGTAACAATTTTTAAACATTCAACAACACCCTAGACAAAAATAATTTTATTAAAACTAACAAAATAACTTTAACAATAGTACTTTTGTATGTAATAGGCAAGTAATAATGGAAGTTGAGCCAATTTGATACTAACTACATTATATATTATATAGGTTGGTTAACATCAGGTTATTCTGAAGATTGGATTATTATATTCTGGGGAAAATATTAAGAACAGTGGTGTTGCACTAGCTTTTTGTATTAAAGGTCATATTTATTGCAGTAATTGAAATTTATGTGGGATAAGCCATTTGACAACCAATAGTCACAGGCTCTATGGTATTCGAATTGTTAACTGTGTTACATTATGCCTATACATTAGATAATAATACTAAATAATAAGATTTACATCAACAGATTCATGTTCTAAAGCTGAATATTCGCCTTCAGTAAGTTCTCGAATAATAACAATATCTATATTTTTATGCTTTGATGCAACTCCTGGCCATGATACTACATGTACAACATTTGAATATAAATCTAAGCCTTTTCTTAGTTTCATATGCAAGTTTTGAAGTTCCCCAGAATAACTTACATCAGGACTCATAAGTGCCCCCTAAATTATATTATAAACATTATTAAAAACATCTTTTATCATCAAGGCATTTTTTATTACAAGTGGTATTACCATTAAACAGATTCTATTACGATTTATTGACTTGATAACATCTTCCACTTTAGCACTACTATTGTGCTGTACTTCTGAAAACAGTATTGTTTCAAAATCAACAGGAACACCGATTTCTTTGAAAACCGTTTTAACAGAATTCATTAACTCAGGATAAACTCCATCACCAGGAATCATGGTACATGTAATACGATCAACTGGCATATTAGGAAATTTTTCCTATAAAAAAAAAAAAAAAAAAATTAAACAAAACCAATACATATAGTAGGGTTTAAGGAATATTATTTACTTCGTTTGATTCATTTGATGCATATGCTCTTGCAACAGGAGATATTGTACTTGATAGTTTACTCAGTTCCTAAAAGGAATATAATTAATTAGAAAATATGGGTTATTGAGATAAACTAGGTCTTACTATAGTTGATGGCGAGTGAATACATTTATTTGATTTAATTCCTAAAATATTTTGAGTAGACTATAAAAAATGTAATATAATTAGTTATAAGATTCATGATAGTTTTTTACTTTAAATTTTAAAACATAACTAATAAATAAGTACCCGATTCATAAAAAGTTTCATTCCATTTTTTAAGATTGACATTTTAGCAGCTATAATGTAATATACAATTTTGAAGAAATTTTTTTGAGTAGTAAATTTCTTCAGTTAGGTCGTTGATAAAATAAAATTTCTTTTTCCTCCCGGGTGGTTAACTTTATTTTTTACTTTGTATTCTGATAACATTAGCGCTGTCCAATGAATTCACAAATTATATTGCGAATGTTTTAATCATTGGTTGTGTTAAAAAGTAAACAGCTGTGAGCGTATGGCACAGACTATAAGAAAAGTCATATTATCTGAAATATAGTATAGAAATAATAAATATTGTAAATAGAAATGATAAGAATTTTCAAATAATGATAACGATTTCAAGTAAAGTATTAAAAAAAAATAATTTTATCTCACGCTATTGAAAGTTTTTTTGATGTAAAATTGTTTTAAAGTTTAATTAAATTTTTCTAAGATAAAATTGAATAAAACATGGAAGAAAGACGTCTTCTTATTCTGTATGGTAGTCAAACTGGCTGTGCCCAAGAAGTTGCTGAAAGAATATGGAGAGAATCTAAATGGTAAACACAGTATTAACAGACATATATTAATAATATAATATGTTATAGTTTATTGAAAATTTTATCTATTACTTAAAAAATTAACATAACTTTATTCATTTGCTTATATGATTTTCAAAGTTCTTTTTCTATCTAGAGTCCCCATATAGTGTTGGGCTCAATACCAAGCCAAATTTAATGTATTAAAATGCTTGTAACTCAATAAATACTTATCCTAAACTTATTATCATCCAATCAAATTTTTTGTAAGAAAATTCTAAAAAATAGCTATTTTGAAGTTTTGAAAAAATAAAAATTTATTTTTATTTTTAATATAAAAATAATATAATAATAAAAAAATATGCTTTCAACATAGTCCAAAATTGAACAAATTATTTAAAAAAGTAACTGCTTTGTTTATAAAATAGGAATAATATTTCACATTAAATTGGAATTTAATTTTTTTAATAAATAAAAATTGAAAAATATATTTTTCATTTTAGATGAATTTTGGTACAGCAAAAATCATTTTGCTAATTTTACAAATGATAAATATATCTTGTTGAGTTATGCTATGTTTAGAAAAAATTTTTTTACACAATTTAGGCTTAAATTAAGTGGTCCTGTAATTGCAATGGATGATTATCCCATTAATAAACTTATTTTTGAAAAAAAAATTATTTTCGTTTGTTCAACTACTGGTCAAGGTGACACACCAGATAATATGAAGTATACTTGGAAATTTTTGCTGAGAAAACAATTGCCTTCAAACTCTTTAGCCAATGTTGAGTAAGTACAAGTTTAGTCACAGTAAAATTATTTTATTAAAATATATGTTCCAATATAGATTTGCTGTTTTGGGCTTGGGAGATAGCTCATACAATAAGTTTAATTTTGCTGCTAAAAAATTATATAGACGTCTATTACAGTTAGGTGGCAAACCTTTTTGTGATGTTGGATTAGCTGATGACCAACATGATATTGGAGCATTTGCTGTCATCGACCCTTGGATAGAAAATTTATGGACAATTTTATCAAAAAAATATCCAACATTAAATGAAAATTATTTTATGAATAAAAACCAATTGCCACCTCCGAGGTAAAACATATAAAAGTAATAACATATCTATAATAAATTCTTTTTAAAAGTTTGTAAAAGCATAGTTTGGACCAGTATAGATATTTCATAATTATTAACATTACTGTAGTGATTATAGCGCTTTCTATAATATATCAAGAAAAGCGCTTTGATGTGAAACTGTTATATTACATAAAAATTTGTATAAAAAGTGATTTTTATATCATAACCCACTCAATTATTTATCTTTAATTAAAATATTAATTAAGTAAAATAGTAATTAAGTAAAAATAAATTATTTTTATTCTATAAGTAATTGAGTGGGTTATGATAATAGGTCATTCTGAATTTGTAATTTAAAAATTTTCATATTTTTTAAAATTTCACTCAAATAATAAATGCTAATTTTTTTATACTGTAGTAAACTTTAAAAGCTTTAATTTGATAAATGTAAAAAATTGTAAGATTTCTAAACATTTTCAAAATTTTTGTATTTCAGATGGGATATACATATGAGTGATACTTTAAATGTTAATGGAGAATTACAAAATTCTGATTTGCTGAAACAAAATTCTTCTTTACTACATTGTTTATCTAATGAAAGGATAACTGCACCAAATCATTTTCAAGTATTAAAAAGAATATTTGTGTTCAAGTAAACTTGTTAATAAATGATTTTTAAATAGGATGTTCGGTTAATTAAATTTGGTTTTGTTGAAAGTAATTTTAAGTATACATCAGGTGATGTTTTGATGTTACGTCCAGTAAATTCTGAAGTTGCTGTTAATAATTTTTTTAAACTATTTGAGGAAAATAAAGTATTAAATATCAATACTCATTCTATGCTGTCTATAATTCAGAAAAGTCATGACATGCCTGTTCCATACAATTTGAGTAAACCATTTTCTTTGTATCACTGTGTAAAAAATTATTGGGACTTAAATGTAATTAAAAATTTTTTTTTCTTTTAATTATTCCAAATTATTTTTCAATGTTTATTTTTTTTTTTTAGGTAATACCTAATAGATATGTATTTCAATTATTATTTCACTTTACTGATAGTGATTTAGAAAAAGAAAAATTTCAAGAATTTATTTCATTTGAAGGTCAAGAAGAACTTTATAATTATTGCAACAGACCAAGAAGAACTATTTTAGAAGTGCTAAATGATTTTCCACATGCGATATCTAATATTTCTCTATCATATTTGTTTGAAATATTTTCTCCAATACGACCAAGAGCATTTTCAATTGCTTCTGCTCCTTCTGTAAGAAAAAAACTATTTTAATTTGGTCTATGCATTTTACATAATTTTTTCGTAGGTACATCAAAATGAAATTCACATCTTAGTGGCTGTTGTTAAATATAAGACAAAGTTATTAGCTCAAAGAGTTGGCTTATGTTCAACCTGGCTTGCTACATTAGAAATTGGAGATAAAATTCCAGCTTGGATTCAAAAAGGCACTTTTAAACTTCCATTTAGCCAAGTATTAATCTATTTTACATTTTGAAAACAATTTATATATTAAGGTGGATCAAAAAAAGTTGATGTTCGAAATTAATGAGAACCATTTTAAATTTATTTTATACATTAAAATAAGCCTTTTGTGAAAATTTGAGATTTTAAAAAAAATTTTTACTGGTGGATCAACGGGTTTCTAATATTTTGACCAAAAATACCCCAAAAAACAAAAACTGGACTCTGTTATTCAATTTTTGGTCAAATATTATGATTAGTATATTAAAATAGTTTGATTTTTACTGTAGAATAAAAATTTTTTAGTTTCAAAATTTTAAGTCAAAAATTGNCTACTGTAGAATACAAATTTTTTAGTTTCAAAATTTTAAGTCAAAAATTGATAGCGTGGATATCATAATTAACATCATTATATGGTATACTTCTAGTAGGTCTCAAAAAAAAATTCTTGACTAATCTTAAAAACTTATACTTTTTTTTATATTTAATGCATAAGCTCAAATATACGATATTCTTGAAAATATGAATAACTGACGATTGTTTTTACATACTTTTGAAAACTTATTANAGGTCTCAAAAAAAAATTCTTGACTAATCTTAAAAACTTATACTTTTTTTTATAATTAATGCATAAGCTCAAATATACGATATTCTTGAAAATATGAATAACTGACGATTGTTTTTACATACTTTTGAAAACTTATTATTAAATGTAATAAATAATATAAGAATATAGGTATATGTTTTGAAAAAATTATACATCAATATAAATTTAATTAAAATTATGAAAAAGAAAAAATTCATTTTTAGTTTTATTATTAATTCGTTATAGATTTATATTTATTCAAGTACCGTAACTATTTCTCTTTATGCATTTCTAATTATACTAGAGATTGTGCTATCTGTAATTTTGAAAAAATCTATAATAATGTTATCGAATTTCATCAAATGTCAATTTAATATCTATCAATTGTGATCAACTAATTTGTTTGTTATACATTATAATATCGTACAAAAAAAAAAATTAATATCCATCCACTAGGAGCAATTCATAGAGAAAGACAGATGGCAAATATAATATATTGTATTAAATTTATATGTACCGTATGCAATTTAAATTAACAATTTCTGAATTAAAAAGTATTTATATTACTTATTTTATTAAAAATTTATACAAGATATTGGTTCGAAAATTTCATATGCAGCAAAATAATGACCTTAAACTACTACGAGAACTAAAGCNGCATCAAATAATGACCTTAAACTACTACGAGAACTAAAGCAATGTAATATTATTTATAAGTATGTCAGTGAGGTAGTGATAAAAGCTTTTTCTGGGTATTTATGGTATGTCAATGAAATAATTGTTGTATTATAATTTTTTGACAAAGATTTATCGACAGGCGTAAAAATTAAAATGGTGCAAGCATTAAATAAAAAAAGAGAACACAATTCAAAAAATGAATAGGAATCGTAACAGTAAAGGGTAATGAGGGTATAAATCAATTTGTCACAGAAAACACTAAACAATTATTTCTAACTCTTAAAATAAATGATAAATTTTTACACGATGATCTCAAAAAATGGCTTCAAAATTCAAATTATAATTTGGCAAAAACTAATGTTGAATCCTTATTTGTGGTAAATTATCCAACAGAAAGACGGATAGCTTTAATAACGTAATTTTAACAATTGCATAACAACTGACGAGAACCAAAGACAATATTTACTACAAGTTGTAGAAGAACATCGCAATGATTACCTAGACTGTAAGAAGTTAGCTTTAATGTTACCAAAAAAATGAAACTTACCTTCTTATTGTATTATATTTAATAAAAAAAAAGTTTTCAAAAGTATGTAAAAACAATCGTCAGTTATTCATATTTTCAAGAATATCGTATATTTGAGCTTATGTATTAATTATAAAAAAGGTATAAGTTTTTAAGATTAGTCAAGAATTTTTTTCTACTTATAGTATACATAAATATTAGCCAAACTGCATAAAAAAAAAATAAAAAAAAAATTTTAAGCTTACTTGAGACTAGAAGTATACCATATAATGATATTAATTATGATATCCACGCTATCAATTTTTGACTTAAAATTTTGAAACTAAAAAATTTGTATTCTACAGTAAAAATCAAACTATTTTAATATACTAATCATAATATTTGACCAAAAATTGAATAACAGAGTCCAGTTTTTGTTTTTTGGGGTATTTTTGGTCAAAATATTAGAAACCCGTTGATCCACCAGTAAAAATTTTTTTTAAAATCTCAAATTTTCACAAAAGGCTTATTTTAATGTATAAAATAAATTTAAAATGGTTCTCATTAATTTCGAACATCAACTTTTTTTGATCCACCTTAATATATAAATTGTTTTCAAAATGTAAAATAGATTAATACTTGGCTAAATGGAAGTTTAAAAGTGCCTTTTTGANTATATATATGGGAAATGACAACCAACAACAGGAATAGAACAAAGATATAATAATATCATTTACAATATAGAGGTGGCCTATCTTTCACTGACAACTTAAATAACTTTTGATCCAGTTAATTTTTGTTGCTATTTTTTTTCTTTTTTTGAATAGTTAATTTACTTAAAGGCTATAATAATAATAATGTAATTAATATCATTTTTATAATTTAATTCTTATTAATGTTTTGTAGTTAATTTTCTGTAACATTTTAAATTTTGAAAAAATTTGAATTTTTGGTATTAAATGCTGGCTGTGTTTTATAAAAAAAGATAGAAGAGAACACAATCTTTTCACACTAAATGTAATATGAGTATGGATTTTTCCATGAACATTATTAACATTCCAATAACCGGCTTTAGTTCATATAAAAACATGAACAATACAATAAAATAATATATAAAAATTGAAATTTTGACAAACTTTAAAATGATACAGACTATTTACTACCGAATATTAATAAGATATTTTTTTTATCAACATTTTTCATAAAATCTTATCTACAAAATAGCTATCTTGGTTTATTTTTTTAAATTGTATTTAAAATTTAAATATAATTATAGATCTAACATATAACTGTTATTTAAAACAAAATCAGTAAAAAATATTAACTAGATCAAAAGTTATTTAAGTTGTTAGTGAAGCTGGGCCACCCTGTAAATTATAATTCATATACATAAAAGTTAAAATAATCATTTACAAACAAAAATATATATAAATTAAACTCATGAATTAAAACATACACGTTGACAAAAACACATCTTAGCCATTTCACGTCTGACACACGACATAATTGAAGTTTTCCCAATGACAATATTAGATGACACCACCATTCGCCTCTAGACCATGGAAGTTGTGTCATCTAGACATTAATGGTACCCATATGTATAAATATATATTTTCTTTTGAAAGCCCCTTAAGGGCTATTGAAACCTCCCCAAAGAGAAGTTTTCTTAACCATTTATAATCTAGGACAGGAGATTAGTCCATCAAATGAATGGGGACTTCAATTATTGAAATAATTTCTTGCACAGCATACGGAGTCACCTGTAATTGAAAATTATCCCCAAACCATTTGCATCAAATGCTAACACATTACCAACTTATATTATTTTCAGTCTTGCAATATCATAATGATTGGGCCAGGTACTGGTGTTGCTCCTTTTAGAAGTTATATTCATGAAACTTTAAGTAACAGAACTGGTAATGGTAAATCATTACATTTATTTTTTGGAGCAAGAAATCGATTGGGTGATTTTTATTTTGAAGATGAATGGAAAAAATTAATCATTGAAAACAAGTTATTACTATATACTGCATTTTCTAGAGATCAAAACTATAAAGTGTAATTTTTTTTAATTATTAAACAATTTAAATTGTTGTATGTATTTATAATTACACATGTATATTTTTTAATTTTAGATATGTGCAACACAAGATAAAAGAGCAAGGGGGAAATTTATATAAACTACTTACTGATTCTGAATGTTATGTGTTTATTGCTGGGAATGCTAAAAATATGCCAGATGCTATAAAAACTGAGTTTGCTAACATTTTTATGAAGTATGGAAATTTAAATAATGAAGAATCTATTAACATCATTAACAATATGGAACACAATGGACGTTATCAAACAGAAACTTGGAGTTAAAATTTTAGTTATTAAATATATTTTAAGTTAAGTTATAATTGTTTTTATTTCATTTTTATTATAATTGGTATTATTACATTATGGTACATGTACTGCATATCTTTAAAGTAATGTAATTTTACACTACATGCTTGAACATAATTAATTGAAGGAATTCAAACATTATTTCTTATTATAAACCCAGCACAGTAGGGTCGCGGCATAGTTGGGTCCAGTATAAATAATATCTGACATTGATTAAAATTTATATCATAAAAAACGCTTCGATGCAAATCTGTAGATAGTGTTTAATTAAAAAAAAAAATTGTCAAAAAAGTAGGTCAAGTGAGAGCTGAGAAAATAAATNATAGTGTTTAACTAAAAAAAAAAATTGTCAAAAAAGTAGGTCAAGTGAGAGCTGAGAAAATAAATAATAGCTACAAAAAAAAAACCATATAGTAAAATAATATTAATATGAATTTCTTCTCACGAGAGGAGACTACAGTAATGGGATCCTTGATATTTATTGAAGTTATTGAATCTAAATGAGATAAAAATTAAATGAGTTAAACATTTTTTTCTAACTCAAAAAGAATTAAGAAAAAATTCAGTGCCAAAGGCGTGAAAGACCCAAGTGTTACCGTCTCAGAAACCGTACGTCGCATTCGTTACTTAAAATGGAAATTTAGCTAGTTCAAATTTTAAAGTTATTTTTCTCAACTTTAAAGAAACAAAAAAATTTAAATATGTTTAACTTTTTATACTATGTCAAATAGATTGATATAATATTTATGAAAATCAGTATAATTCCCTTATAATAAAATAAAATAAAATACAAAACTAAGAATTTTAACACAAAAATAGCATAGTTTTGAATACGGTAGCTATTTTCACATTGAAGACAAAATAAAGTCCGAAATTTTTTTTTTAATATTAAAGTATATTACATAAGCTTTAATTTAATATAAGATTATATTTAAGATATATTTATATATATATATATATATAAATGTGTCAGTATTTACGGAACACTTTCAAAAATTAAGTTGAAAAAGTTCTACTTTCTATATGCATTTTTATGTTTTGAACCCCCTGTATTATGGGAAAAGGTCCGATTTAAAAAAAAAATTATGTCGAATAAAAGAGGTACATAAATATTATTTCTTAAAAAAAATTGTGTTGATCCATACATTTTTCAAAAAGTTATAATATTTTAAAGTTAAAAATGTAAAATATAAAATCGAGAATTTTAACACAAAAATAGCATACGGTAACTATTTTTAACATGAAGACAAAATAAAGTCCGAATTTTTTTTTTCCATATTAAACTATATTACATTAGCTTTAATTTAAGATACATATAAAAATGTCAGTATTTACGGAACACTTTCAAAAGTTAATTTTTTGTGAAACAGTTGTCATTTTGAATCCCTCCCTGTGGGCAGGTAAAGGGTCAAATTTATAAAATACATCAAATAGTAGGTAATGACATTATGCATCTATAAAAAAATTATATTGATTTGTTCATTTTTGAAAAAGTTATGGCAGTTTTAAGTAAAAAAAATTGAAAAAAATTCGAACACTTTTGCACATAGAAGGTAAGATGTCGGGACAATTTTTTTTTTTTCATTTTATAGTATATGACATAACCTTTGATTTGATATATGTTTAAAGGACGCAGTATTTCCAGAACATTTTCAAAAATTAAGATGAAAAAGTTATTTTTTGTAAAAAAGTTACTATTTTAAATTCCCCTCAGTGATCAGGTTAAGTGTTAAATTTTCAAAAAAATGATATTAAATGAAAGGGAAATATCTAAGGTTTTAGTATAAAAAAAAATTATGATGATTTGTTGATTTTTGAAAAAGTTATGGAAGTTTTAAGAAAAAAAAGTGAAAAAAAATGACAAAATTTACCGATTTTTAAATTTAAAATTTTTTTGGAGATTTCTCCCATTTGCGGGGAACGAGGCAAAATTTTTCAATTATTAAGAGTAATGTCTTCGACATTGAAAGAAATCGGTTCGGTGAGAGCTGAGAAAAAGTTTCTATTCAAGTGAAAAAAAAACACATCATAGTAAAATTAATACCTTCTCAGTTTCGCATCGAAGTTAATATATGAATAAATATCTAAAGGGAAATGGTTTTATTTTGAAAGAAGGTATGTAAAATGAAAGAGATATATAAATAGTATTTATCATAAAAAAATTGTATTGATCCATACATTTTTCATAAAGTTATAGCATTATAAAATTAAAAATATAAAAACGAATTTTTTTACTAAAATCTTATTTTAGCTTCGATGCGAAGCTGAGAAGGTATTGGTTTTACTAAGATGTGTTTATTTTTTTTTTTTTTATTTTAATTTTTTTTTTTTTTTGTGTCTGTT